TGATTGTATGCAGAATCGCTAGAATTTATTGCAGGGAAAAATTAGAAAGCATATAACGAGGGTCAAAAGTACATAGGAATCAATGTTTTTCTTGAACTAAATTGAACCTATGATATTTTTAATGTTCTTAAGTAACTCTAATCCTTACAATTGTTCTCCAGGAGAACACATTTTTATTCTAAAAGTTTTTTAAATATTTTTGTCTTTGTACATTTATTTTTTCGGTGTACTTTAGCCATCCCTTAGCGCGGTTGCTCCCTTGAAATGTATCTTTTGTATCTTTGTGCACTTAACACGCATTCTAATTGCAAAAGCCAAGCTCCTAGGAGTGAAAAGAAATTATTAACAACAAAAGCAGAAGCTGGAATTCCACTTGGCTGCGATTTGGGACTGGGAATAATGCTCCATCTCCAGGGTTGGCGTGTGAGTAAGTGCGCCCGAAACGGAAGGAGAGTTGGGACAGAATGGCAAGGTAAGGGTTAAGACGCGGACGAGGGGCGGAGGGGTATATAAAGCGTAGCAAAACGTTTGCACGTTGAAGGCATAATAATAAAAGGTTAAAAAAGGCGCAAAGAAGATTAAATGCTTGAGAAGATGCAATATTTTTTGCTTCGCCTGCTGCTGCTGTTGCTGCTGCAGCAGTTGTTGCTGTTGCTGTAGCTGCTGCAATGGTTGTTGTTGCTGCTGCTGCTGCTCCTCTTCCTTTGCCTGCAAAAAGGGGGCGGGGCAGGGCAGGGCAGACACTGCACTTATGTTGCTTTGTTGCTGTTGCTGTTGCTGCTCGACTGCAATGTTGCCGGTGCCGTTGCAGTGTTGCTGCTGCTAGCCCGCCTTGTAATTGCACATCATGTAGCTGTTGCCGTTGCCAGCTTTCGACCTGGACTTCAGCCCCTTCCCCCTCCCATTCCCCTTTCCCATTCCCTCATCCCCGGATTCCTCCTTTGCCCACACCGTTTGCCTTTTTAGTTAACTATTTTGTGTTCAAGTTGAAGGCACATGGTAATGGCAATGGTTGCATCTTGCTCACATATTAATTGCCGCACGGCTGCGCGCCTTTCTGTGGCTCCCCGATCACTTGGGCTTCCAGTTTAGACTTAGGTGTACTGCCCCCCACCTCCATCTACATATACATATATATCCCCTGAAATCCCCCATCAAGCACTTCCCGCTTGGACTTCGGTTGCATCACGCAATCGCCTTTCGTTTTATTATACCCTCGACCAAAAGGGGTTTATTGGCGGAGTGAATAAAGGATGGAAGTGATTTTATGAGCGGCCCATATTTGTTCATTTTATTTATTTAAGTTCAATAAACATGTAAACGTAGCGCATATATAAAATTAATGGAGTTTTCTGTGCCCTAAAACTATTCTTTGAAGAAAACAAAAAATGTAACTAATACAAGTGATAAACTTAACAAAATATTTATTAATGAATATTACACATTAATTAATGAAGTTCACTACGTTTCCACATTTTTTTTTTAAATTTACAATTTTTGAACTATATTCCTTGATAGAGTATCCCAACTTCAACCTGCCATTAACTCCATTTTACCTTAGCCTCGCCAGATCCCTCTCCATTTTTTATGCGATATTTAAACAAATTGCTTGTAGAATATTTGTGACATTTTGTCATGCCCAGCAAGTTATGTGAGTTCGCCGGAGTGTGTGTTGTGTGTGTTTGTGTGTGTATAAACCCCACGTTCCTGGCTCAGCGGGCAGTGAAAATTGAGTACAAGTTGCTTTGAGTTGCATCATCAATCATTGCACACGTTGAATGATGTTTTGTCACAGATATGCCGCCGGCAGCAGCAGCAACCAGCAACCGGCAACCAGCAAGCAGCAGCATCAGCAGCATCAAAAACAGAACTCGAGTATTGGAAAAGAGGACGGAGGTATCTGTCAGCTACAAAAACGAGTCAAAATATTTATAAAAGTCAAAATTGTCGCACAGTCGGTGGGAGGAGATGAGTCTGGGATTCTCGTATTCGATTTCGATTCGGTTGCCTGCCGGCATACACACCCTAAATAAATCCCAAACCGTCTCATCTCTCCTGGCACTGTAATTAATAATCCGAGCTGCGCGTTTCGTCATTTTGAGCTTGAGAAATGACGCCGAGAAGAAAGTTCTTTCCGAATAGCAGGAGCATTGTCCGCATCGATTGGAATTCTCAGCCAAGAAAGAGAGCTTCGTGTAATGACAAAAGTATTTGTAATTTTCCTGGGTTAGTTCTTTCTTTATTATTTTCTCTTCTTTTTTTCGTGTGGTGTCCCCAAAGCGTTTTGAGTTACAGCAGCGGCAACTTGAGGAATTACTCTAATCAAAAGTTTAAAAACAAAAGCAACAAAAACTAAAAACTTTAGCTCAACTTGAAGATAAATGATCCGAGTGAGAAAAATGCTATAAGTTTGTGTATAGTTTAGATTAGAGTTTCATAAGTAGTCGGCACATAATACGGATTAATTGCTGGGGGAATGCAGAGACAATTTTCCAGTTGAAAGTTCTCTTGGAATGCATGGGTTTTTTTTATTTCTGTAACTCCTGGAATCGTTTTAACTATACTAACAATGGTAATAAGTGTAAAATAAAACCATTTAGTGGAAATGAGTTCGCAGAACTTTGTTTTGAGTCAACACTTGCAGATTAATCCATCTTTGTCTAATTCTTTAAGCTCGAGAAAACCTCGCCACGAGGGTTTCGCCATAAACCACACAGCAGAGAGAACAAGAATTTAAGGCAAAATTAGTGAATGTGTCTGCTGGCTTTTCCCCCCCTTTATCCGTAGCCGAGTTGTCAACTTTAATTATTGGCCACAAAAACCAAACTCAGACTGAGACACGCTCGGAGAACTTTAAGCCTAACCATGTCAATTGTTTGACATTAAAATGCGGAGAGAAAGACAGTGGAGAACTGGCTCTAAACAAAAAGCCAAAATTGAATTCCGAGTGAGTGAAGTGAGGAGGGATGAGGAGTTGAGGAGATGGAGACGAGACGTAGAGTAAATACCGCAAATAAAATAAATTAAATAAGAAAACTACCGCTGTCAAAAGGTTTAACATTTCACTTAAAAACAAAAAATAAACCGAGAGTAGAGAGGAAGAAATTCTGAAGAGCCGAGGAGAGTCTGTGTGTTGTATATATCTTGCCCGATTCTCGGTTTCGGTTTCTTCGGTTTTGTGCCTCCGCTTGGCTCAAGTTGAACAACAATTTCCAAGAAAATTAAAACATGTAAAGACATATCTTTTCATCTGACAAACATGGACCTGGACGGACGGGGACCCATGCATATGTAAATATATCTGTGTTTTCTGCCCCTTGTCTGCCCCTTGTACCTCTCCTACATTTAACATTTAACTCTTTTGTCGAACATTTGACGATGGGGCACCCGAATGCGAGAAGCGTAACTTAAAGCTCAAAAGGAAATTACAGAAATGCCTTAAATCTCATAAATACTTCAATCAAGTATGTCCAAAAATAAGTAAAGATATTTAAGCCCAGCGGCGACGGCGGCGGCGGTGGAGTGCCCCCAAAAATGCTAAAGGTAGTCCCCGAACCGAATGGCGACAACCAGGGATCTCTTTCAAGGGATCCCAAGACAAAACAGAACATTGCTGCTGCTGCTGCTGCTGCTGCTGATGCCGATGCTGCTCCGTCTGGCATTTCTTATTTTATTTTTTATCCCGACTTGAGCCCGTTGTTGTCCGTGTGTATTGAAGTATGTGTCTTGTCATGACATAAGAAATTGACTCCACTTGAATTCGAAAAAGGAGTGCAGCGGCAACAGCAACAGCAACAGCAAATGAAATTAAAAAGTAAATGCAACCATAAATGCAGTCAGAAGACAAGCGAACGATGCCGAAGTATCTGTATCTGTATCTGCGGAACTTGAGCGGAGCAAATGAAGTGCCTGGCCCCGAATTGTAAAGACTTAGCAATAACAGCAGCAGCAACTACACATAAGAGTTGCTTTTGATTTGCTCGAGGAGTTGGGGAGACCAACTTTTCAGGGAGAGTGGCTTTGAAAGTATGGGAGATTTTCAAAAATACAAACAACGAAAAAAAAACTAAAAGCCGATTGCTTTTCATTTTCCTGCCAAACTGAAAAATACTTAATTTCATTTCTGAACAAATTTTTTTAGTAAACACCATCTGCACTAAAGACAATTTAAGCCGCTTTTAAAAGTCGCAACTTTATAATTAAAACTCTTATTTTGCAGCCATTATTTTTTATTAATGCACCATAATTTACCAAATTGAGAATCCCCAAATTGTTACCTCCCTGTTCATCCTTCGAAAACTCTTTTACCTTTTGGCATACCAACTTTCCATCCATCAATAATCATTAAAATTTTAAAACTTCCCTCGCCCATCTTTTAAGCTTTATTGGAGATTGCAACTGAAATGAAAGCATCTTCCTTCCTTTTTGTTGTTATTGTTGTCTTTTTTCTTACTTTGTATATGTGTACATCCATTTATATGGACGTATATATGTTTCTGAATGTTTTGGCACTCGCCCTAGACTTGAGCATTGTTGTTGGCTGCGCTGTCTTTTTTCTTATTTGGCCGGAGCAATCCTTTTTGCCTTCTGTGTTACCTTACGTACTTCCATCCATTTTATTTGGATGTGATGTGCTCCGAAGTACAGTGGAACGTCACTAAAAGTAAATGCTAGTGAACACATTTTCGCACTCAATTGAATGAAACAAGAAAAGGAGTTGCAGCATATTAAAATAGATTATCTTGATAGATTTAACTGAATAAAAAATTTTCTACTTAATGACTGGTTGCTTTTACTGAATTTCTACTGTTTTTGCTCTGTTGTTTTTTTCCTGTTGACTTGGGGCTTTTTAAGCACAGCGCCAGGGCAGAGAAGGCAGACAAGAAAACAAAACCCACATGTGAGCATTTAATTTCAACAACTGTCGCTGGGGCTACCAGGCGAAATACCAATAGCAGACCAAGGAGACACGGCAGCAACATCCCAGCAGCAGCAGCAACATCTAAAGCAGCAGCAACAGCAACAGCATCAGCAGACTCCATCTGAGCTCCACATTCTGCCGCACCGCTCCAGGTCGCCCCATCTCCCTCTCCCTCTCTCTCAACCTCTACCCCTCCCTTTCTCGGATTCTCCAATTGCTGGCAGCAGCGTTGCCGACACCAACGGCCCTCATGTTGGACACTAAACAGCGGGCGCTGCCAAATGACAACCAAACTACATGTGAAGTACAACAGCAACACCAAAAGCACAGCAGCAGCAACAGCAACAACAATGCACAAGTAACAGTGGGAGCCGCATTAATATGGCCAAGGTAAAGGGTATTTAAAAGCAGCCACCAAGCCAGGCCAAAAAAGAAAAAACCCGAACTCAAACTCGGGCCAGGAGAAGAACCCTGGCGGGGCCAGAAAAAAAAAAGACAAGAGGGAATGGGAGTCAAAAAGACAAATGTGAGTGCACAGTGGGTGCATTCCGGGTATTTCTTCCAAAACAAAAAAGGTTTACATTAACCAGAAAGAAATTAAGAAGATAAATTCCTTGTTAAATACAGATAACTTAAAAAAAAACAATTAATATATTTTTAAATAAATAAACTTTTTGCTTCAATGAAAGTAATTGATTTCTTAATTAAAAATGTATTTTGTTATAAAAACTATATTATTATTTTATGATGCAGTTTTGTTGCTTTCTGCAATTAATTTCCAAACTACAATTTAATTTCCGCCCTTTGTATTCTTTCCAGGGATGACAAAACTATTTATTTCAACAAAACCTGCACCTAATTCCATGCAATTTGAGCTAATTTACTTGCCAATTAAATTTTAATTAACCCTTTAAATTTGGGAGCTCGCCGGCGAACCACTGTGCCCACTGGGCGTTGTTTGCCGGGCCGCCAGTTCGCCTGACGTTCGGTGTTCGTTGTTCGTTTGGGGGATATGTTGTAGCTGCTGTTGTTACTGCTACCTCTGCGGTGTGTGTGGGTTTTGTGAACAGGTAGTTTTCGTCTTATTTGGTTTTTGGCCAACATTTTTTAAGGCCGAAAGGAAAGGAAAGTAAAAGCCAATGCGCCTCCTCGCCTGCTCTCAGTTCTCCGTTCTCCGTTCTTCTGCAGGCAGGGTGCTCGTCTCCCGCTCCTTCTTCTTCGTTCGAAAGGATGAAAATTAAAACAGTCTTAAAAAACATGACAGGCAGGCAGTCAGTCGGCTGCACAACCCTGAAATTAGTTGACAAGGATGAAAGGAGCAGAAAAGTGGAATGGGGGGCGACTACTCGCAGAGGGCCCGAACGAAATGAAACCGACTCCGTGCTGAGCCGTGTTGTTGATGGAAGATTTACATAATGCAGATGATGATGGTGGCAGCGACGACGCGTCGTGTGGGAATTTCATTAATGAAAGAATTATGAGAGGTTACATAATGAGCTGCCCCAGACCGCCTAGCTGATTCCATCGATAAAGTCCGGTTCCCTGCGTGTGTGCGTTTGTTCTTTTTCGGGGCGGTCACTAATAACGAACCGATGTCCTAGCCCCCTCCACACACACACACACAGAGAGAAACACACTCACACACACCTCCATTAACCCCTGCTCATTGTTTGAGTCGACACAACAAATTAACAAAGTTTTCCAAAGAAATGCGTAATTGTGGGTCAGTCGGAAGACCCTTTCCCTTGAACTAATTTGACAACTCTTGGGGCTAAATTAACGCTCACATTTGGTTCAGGTTTTTAGGGTTATTCGATATTTTACATGACAAAATAAAGAACCGAAGAAAAAAAAAAAAGAAAAATTGAAACAAAAAGGTAACACATGCTGCTTTGCTTTTAGCCAATTTGCGGATACGAAATGGAAACTGTTGCCAATTTCAAATCGCAATACGCACCTGTCACATAAATCACCGTCCAAATGTGATTTATTAGCTATTCATATTAGTTACTTTGGCTCCTGAGGGGCTCCGAACAACAGACACACGCTAATATATAATAAGCAATGTGTGTAGAAAACATATGTATCTATGGGAGATATTGTGTTCGCTGTCTTGCCAGCTGCAAGACTCTCCTTCCTTGCCTCCTATTTTTTTTTTTTTTGGGTTTTGTTTGCTGGTCTGTAAAATATTGAAATTGAGTGCAAACTACTTTGAACTCTTGCCGGAGCTCTGCTCTGGGTTGCGGAGCTACCTAGCAGATACATTATTAAAATGATATAAAGTAGCTGAGACATGAGTGCGAAGTATCTGGAAGTTGCATGCGAATTGGCAATGAACCCCGGCCAAGTGGCTGCCGTGCAATGGCCCTAAGTTATGGGCGAAAGTATCTCGCCGTGCGGCTATTTTCGGGTGTATCTAACGGATGCGCCGCTTAACCGTGCTAAGCATGTGAAAATGTTTCTGCGGATGAGAGCGAGGAATGTATGAAGACATATTTACGTAATCTGCGCTGTGTATCTTTGGGTTTATATCAACTAACGTGGGAAGTATCTGGCGCTGCGTGCAAAAGTTATGAAATATTGAAGTGCTTTAGCACAATTTATGCTATGTCTTTGAGATAAACTTATTGCTTCATTAGATAAAAGTATAATATACTATTTATTAAACATGTTATTAGGCGTGAACAAAAATACCCAAGTTAGCTACAACATTTGAAATGTACAACATAGGTTAAGAACAACTCATTGCAGATACAAGTAGAGCACTGACAGCAGAAATTCCTCTTTAAAGTACCCCCACATTAGACATAAAATTTACGATATCTGCAAAAATCCTTTAGCCATAAAATACCCACCCAAATGACTGCGGATCAGGAATCCAAAGTATATACAGGTGGAGCCATAAAGTACTAACTATCTTAATAGATATAAATATCATAAAAAATAAAAAGGAGTACAATCTCAAGCATCCAGCTGGAGCTTCTTGTGAAGCAACAAATTTTAATTACGATTCCGGTGCATTCCACTCAATCATGGCTCATATCCCCCTCCCCATTTTGCGCATCCCTTTACAGCGGCAAACGATAAAACCAGTCTCAAATGCCTTCTTTTTGGCTAGATTATGCAAAAGATACAAAAAGCACACACTCATGGTTATAAAGTTGGAGAGGATAGCAACGCATGGACGACGACGCTGTTAACTTTTATTGGCGAGCTTTAAAGCAAATTTGTCTTGGCCATTTCAGTTCCTGCCTCATCCCGCTGCAAATAGCAGTATGGCTAAAAGAGATTTATGACACTGCCGCGCGTACACGGCGCATTCAAAAATTGTTGAAAACAATTAGAATATTTTAGCAACGACCAGGGGAGACTATAAAAGTTATATGAAGAACGCGACGAGTTTCGAGTTAACAGCAGCAAAAGGAGCCAAAGAGGGGCAGCAGCAAATGCGAGGGACTGGTTGTAAAAATTATGCGCCAAAATGACTCTGACAGCAGTCGCGACTGGCGTATAGCGACCATCCGCCCGGTTGGCCTCGTTTTTATGGTCATAACTAAGTAGCAGTCATTGTTTCATATGACTTATAATTTGGCACACATTTACGATCTTTTTCGGCCATAGAGAAAAGCAGAAAGCAGTGAGGCAAAGACCAAACTCCTGGGGCAATAGCAACAGGCCGTCATCACAGTTGCCGCTGCTGCCTGCTGCATGATATAACATAAACGACGCGAACGTGGGTTGTCAACAAAGTAGGCTAAGTTTGACAGTGCGGTGGCATGTAAAAAACTCATTATAAAAACATTTTCAAATTGCCTTTTTTCCGGATTTTCCTCCTTGAGAGAAATTCGTTAAACAAATGCAGTTAATTCATCAACATTTTAGAGTTTAGAGAGACATATTTGTCTCCATCATGAATCAAATTTACTGAATTAATTTCCTAAAACCCCAATCAATTTCTCCCCATTAATAACAGCTAAAAGAGCTCGAACCCACCTCGCACGCTTCACTGACTACTCACAGCTGTCATTAGACTCTCGCCGCTAAATCCTCCGCAGCCAAGCCCACTCCTACTTTACGGTTTTTCCCCCCATATCTATCTGCGTGTCGATTTAGCAAGCGCTATACGACATGAACTTCAAAATGAGCCGCAGGCCTCAATCACAACCAAACACACAAGCAAACGAGGCAGCCAACCATCATCCCATCCCATCCCAATCCCATCCCATCCATCGCATCACATCGCATCGCTCTTTGGAACGCCGAGCTTTGCTTTTTCTTCTTCGACTCGGAATAATTTTATTTTGTGCGCCTGCCTGGCCTGTGTTTTCTTTCATTTGCTGCACATTTTCCATTTCATAAAGCAGCCAGCTCGGCCTGTTTATGATTTAAGTTCGCCGAGAGAGGCTGCTTATTACAGGCCGACTTCCTTCGGTAGGAAAAATGCAAAAAAAAAAAAAAAAAAAAAAAAAAGCACAACAAAATAGTGAAACGAGTGGTTGGGGTTGTCGGCGACGCATTAATGATTGTTAGTGAGTTGTGAAATTGCTCTAACTGCACTTCAAGCAGCACAAGCGGCTTCCACACCATTTGGCCTGACCAGCATCGAGTATCCAGCATCCAGTATCCAGTATCCAGCTTTCAGCATCCGTATCTGACTCTTTCCGGCAGGTTCTCGAGCTCAGAAGCGAAGTGACTGACTGACTGACTAACCAGGCAGCCAACGCAGCGAACCAACTGAACGCCGACCAACCCGTTCGCATATTAAAGAGTAAATTTTTCAATTTCACAGACATTAAACGCGACTGCTGCCTGTCTCCGCTTAACTTAAGCTAAACGCTCCGCCTTAGGCCAATTCCAGACTCTTTTGGCTCCCCGCCTTTCGCCTGCCTGAATTTGACCCGAGTCTGCAGCATTCAGTTTAGCCATTAAATAGTTTGTTAAAATTTGCCTTATTAGATTATTAAATTTTCGCAATTTAGGCAAAATTCGTTTTGGCACTTTCTGGCCCCGAAATGTACACGGCAAGAAAAACTATATAAGCCCGTTGATTAATGGCCAGTCAGAAATATTTGGAGTGATAAATGTGCACAAGTTTTTTGGCGCGCAAATATGCCAAAAGTTTTGGGCTAAGAAGGTCACAAAATTCTACAGAATTTGTGTATTATAAGCCGAGGAAAGTTTGTAAAAGACAGCATGAAGAAAGTAGTGAGAAATTTACGCTAGAGAAAATGTATTAAATTTTTAATTGCTTTCGAAATTTAGCTAACGATTTCTAGTTAATGTAAGGGGAAAAATTAATTATTCAGCTTTAAAGGTACATAAACCATTTGAGAAAGAATATATCGGCTTTAATTGGTTTTGAAAGTAACTTTATTCAACTATGGAACAGCTGATCAATGAAGACATCGAAGAAGATTTCTCCAACTGGCCTTTAAATCATTTCTAATCCATCGCTTCTCGGCTTTGTTTGAGCCCAAAATTCTATCCTTTCGAGCCCTGTATCTACATGGCACACACACAGATACACACGCACACTGGAGGATGTGGGCCAAAATGTTTCTGCAGCTTGCATAACTCTTTCTTTCGCTACGTGTAGCAAGGGTCAGCAGGAAGTGCGGCACGGGGGGTTTGGGCCGAGCAGCCAAATTCGCATTACCCCCCAGAGTGCATGCCAGGCATGTCCTCATCCTCATCCTCACCCCCATCCTTGTTTCCAGCCCCTCTTATCCCCCTTCATCGTAGTGGTCCTATCGCCATCGATGTGTGTAAGTTGGTTTATCGACATGTGCGCACTGGTGAGTGACTAAGGGAGATACGGTCCAAATTCTTAAAGAGGAACTTCTAAAAGTCCGAAATTTAATTTTCGACAACTTAAGGAAAGTTGTATAGCGTTAAAATGCAAAGGAGGGGGAAAACTCGTTTTCTGTAACATTTCTGTTTAACTTACTTGTAACTTTTCGTCCTATGGCGATATTATTTTCTTATTAACATCTGAAAATATAATAAAAAAGATTTGATTAAACATAAAATGTAGAAAAGTTAAACCAAATGCTAAGCTTAGCTTACAAGACATTCAATTGTCATGTCTATAGGAACTTAATAATAAACCCAAACCCTAAATCCATAAAACCCGTACAAATTTATTGGTTAACGGTTCGTTGTAGGCAACTTAAGCTGTGACCACTATATAAGGTGAATGGTGAGGTGTGAGGGGAAGGGGGAGGTGGTTGGGCGGCTTTTGGGGGGTTCAAATGCAGTGCCCTGTACGGGGCTTTTGTTGCTACTGGCCATATGCCAATTTTCGGTAAACTAACTTGCCTAAACTCGACAAGCAAATTGCCTTCATTAAGATACATGCTTGCTACCTACAATTTAGGCGCACACACACACACTCGCACACATTCATATATGCATGGCTAAGAGTGTGTATCTGCGAGTGTGTATCTATAGACATGTGGTGGAACCTACCATCTTCATCCAATGTGCATTTTACCAGCGACCTGCACTTCTTCTACTTCGGTTTTCCTTATTTTTTTTCCTCCTTTTTTTTGTGTGTGTTTTTTTCTCTTTCAATTTTATTTTAAGAGCTCCTCTAACAAGCGAAGCGATGACGACGACGTTGACTACGTCAATTGGGTCAGAGCGGCAACAACAACAACAACAACAGCAATCTGGGCAGCAACAACAACAACAACAATTTCAATAGATATATACGAACATGGGGGCTCGATCCACTGGGAAAGCGGGCGCAACAGAAGCCACTTCAAGACGCCCACACATCGAATTTAACCACATATCCAAATCGAAGACCCAAAAACCCAAGCCCCAAAAACACAAAACACCAAACCCAACCCATAATGAAGGGAGCAAAAGTGTTAGAAATGCTTTTTGCTTTGGTTTTTCTGTTATTTTTCCTCTCGTTTCGTGGTGCTTTGCATACACATTAAAGTTAATTTCGAATCGCTTTTAAATTAGCTTAATTCGCATTAAGTGAGCTGAAATAAAACTCACGCCTACAAAAAGCCGAAGGAAGAGGCCCCAGCGAACAAGAAAGCGTGAGTGGAAATGGGATTTTGACATGGGATTCGGTTCGAAAGATACTCATTAAATATGAAAGTCAGTAGAATAAATAAAGAAGCTCATGGTTTAATTGGGTTAGTAGAGTAAGGTTTTTAGTTTATAGCGAGTTCTTATAAATATATAATTTTTTCCAAAAACCCTTTCCGAAATCCCCTGTGTAAATACCAAAATTCCAGATCTCCCCAAATACCCACTTTTAAGGCACTCTCAAATACGAAGCTCAAACGGCAGCTAAACATTTAAATGTTGTACAACAGCAATAACAACCGAACTGAAGCTGCGGAGGCCTCCGAAAAGTGCTGAGACCGAAGCTGAAGCTGAACCTGAAGCTACGGCTACTCACTCGAAAGATACACAAGCAAAGCTGCAGATACAGATACATTTCGCTGAAGAGACCAGAGACGACGGCGTTCGACGGAAAGAAAACAAAAACCGCCCGCAGCCAAAAAGTCAAGCCGAAGAACCATCAACATCAACACCATCAGCGAGCAAGTGGCAAACTTTAAGATACATTTCGGCTGCTGTCGATTGGCGACGGCCACAAAATTTTTTAAACGCTAGAACGCCTCTTCCCAACACTTTTGCAACGAGCCGAAAAAAAATATATTTCTCTCGTTTTGCAGTTGCTGCGGTTTTTTGGTTTTATTGCTGGTTTTGTTTGTATCTTTTTTCTGTTTTTTTTTCCGCCCGGTTTGCAGATTCTTTTGAACAATTATTTTTGCTCGCAGTTTTGCGGCCTTTTTGGGTAAAAGTCGGCAGTGCAATGAAACAAATGAAACGAAATGATGTTGAAAAATTTAAATACATTGCAGGGAAAAAATTCCAATTATCAATTAAGTCAACTCCGGGCTGGCTGCTGAATGTAATAAAAAACAGCGCCAGACTGAAGTTGGAACTGGATTCTGGGACTCTGGGATTCCGGACTCCGAAGTCTGGATTCGGTTTCCTGTTTGTCTCTCAGCGAGAGAAATATTATTCAGAGAAAACGTCGAGAGAAGGCTGAACGAAAAGATAAAAACATTAATTATTATTAATTGCTTTTTCTTTCTCTCTCCGCGCATTCTGTATTCTTATTAATATTTTTTCGCTGTGTTTTTATTGTATTTAATGCCGTTTTGGCCTTTGTTTCATCTTGTTTTATGTGCGCGCATTTTCTCTCATTTGGACCCTTTTTTTTCTCCCAAGATCCTTTTGGCCACAATGTCGCCGTGTCCCTTTTATTATTCCTCGCTTCTTCCTTGCTTTTGTGTGCGATTTAAACCCTTAAAGGCAATCTCTGGGTCGAGATTAAACCTGTTCTTAAGTTTTTCGGCTGGGAATAAAAACTGAAACATTTTTGTTGTTGTGTGTCTGAGAAGCTAATCGGAATGACAAGTTTCTAATTTGGAAGATTTACAAATTCTTGTTTTCTTTCTGTTGTTTGGGTTCTTATTTTTTTCTTTTGCGTGGGCAGCGACTTGTTTGACAAATTGCTGGATTTCATTTTGGGCTAAGGGCTACAGGCAGTCACATTAAAATTGCAAATTTATGAAAGATTAAAGTAAGCAAATTGAAATGATGTGTATAAAGAAGAAGGTGCAGCTATAAAACACCATTTCTTTGACAAACAATAACCAGATATGATTGATAATTATTTTAAGTTGTAATTATTTCACAATAGTGTATAGATAAGAACAACTTGATTAATGTCATCTGACCCAGCCACTTGTAAACTCTTTCATATTCTTTTCAACCCTGCTATGGAGTTTTGCCACAAAAGTTTTCCAGTTAGCAGGCGATGAACCAAACGGTTGGCCAACCAAAAATTGCCAAGTTTATCGATCAGACCGGAACACTAAATAAAATAAACTGCAACAATTTGCAAAAAGCCAAAAGTGGCAGCTCGTTGGCTCCCAGGACATCGCTGCCAGTCTTGGCTATATTCCCAGCATGCCTGTCGACACTTTCGCTTTAATTAAAAACTTGCAAAAAAGCTCCTCGCACACACTGTCCATAAAATATGCCAAGCAGAAGCTGAAGATGCCCCATGAAGAAAAAGGAACAGAAACTAAAAAAATTCCTATTAAATGCAGCTAAAGCAAATCTAGTTAAACCCACAAGCAGCAACTGCAAATGCAAAAAAAAAAAACCTTTTCTACTCGGGTAAAAAAATAGAGAAGAAAAAAGACTGACAAGAAAAATAATTTCAATATGGAAATGTCAAGAAATAGGCTCAAAGTACATGAGGAGTATATTAGAAAATTGTATTTCTTGGGTTATGCAATTATTTAGCAGACTTATTTGACAAAATTAATTTTTTACATGCACACAAAAGATGTACCTTTTGTAAAGTAATATATTATGAATTATTTGTGTGAGTTATTTATTTAAGAAAAGTTTAACCCGAAAAAGAATATTGTATAAAAGATAAATAATAAATTCTAAGCCTCGTTCAACACTTTGATTATATATATGGGCAAAAAGGGTATCACAATAAAAAGAAAATTTCACCGCATGCATTTCCCCAGTAAACTTTATTATTATTCGTATATTTTATTTTCTTTGGACTAAACCAGAGGCAGAACCAGAAACCAGAACGAGAACTCGAAGCCACAAACGACAGTGCATAAAATATATTTTTGCTTTTTACTGAAAATTTCCATACATGTTTCATGTATATTCAACCCAGGCCCCCTCAACCCCAAAGTTATATCTAGTGTATAAATTTGCGTATGCATTTTTGGAATGATGGGTGGGTGGCTGGGTTTTTTGGGGTTGTATATGGAGGATAGAAAGCGATTGTCTGCTTGTTTATGCTAAAGCAAAGAGGACCAGGCAACTCGGTGAGGATCTGAAAAACGCAAACAAAGCCCTTTTTGTCTGGGCCATATGCTGGATTTCCTTTCCTTTTCAATTTTTTTCCACTTTTTTTTCTATTTTGAATCTAAAAAATGTTTAGACAAATTAAAAATAGTAAGAGTAACGTTCTATGGACGAAGGAGAATTTATTTTCTGCGTTGGTAACGCGCATTTGGGTCAAGGTGTTTGTTTTCTGTTTGTATTATTCTTATTGTTACTGTTGACTTGTTTTTGCTTTATTATGAAAATTGCAGCAACGACAACAATGTATTGTTTTCGTTGTTAGTTGTTTTTTTTTTCTTGTTGTTGTCGCTGTCATTATGAAAGCGAATGCAGGACAACAGTGGAAAGGAATACGCCACCCACACACGCCCACACGTTCATAAAATATGTGCTTGATTAAAGTGTTCGTGGCATGTTAGCCAAACTAAAACGTTAAAAAACAAGCGAAATAACTTGCCAACTATAAACAATTTCCACGTGAAGGTACAATTTGTATTGATGCACTGTGAAATAAGCATAATCAAATCAGGATATCGATTGCTTGTTAATTTTAAGCTTCATTTAAAGAATAAATGTTACGATGTAAACTTAATAGGGAGTTTTAAAAAGCTAAGAACGATCCTTGATTTTTTCTTATTACATACAAGAAACTTTTTGAAAACAAAAAGTCATCAAATATTTAAAAACATGTTTTTTTTCCATGTACTTTTTGGAGGCGTTAGAACGTGTATAGGAAGTGGGGGCGCCGGTGTTTCTGGCGAATCAGGAGTCAAGGAATAATCAATAAAAATAAAATATATCACACGACGTTCCCACTCCCGTTGCCGCTTGCCGGTAACCGTTACCGCTTCCCGAAATCCCCGTTATGCCGTCGTACCCGGTTCCTTTATTTTTGGTTTTGGTGGCTCAGTACGCTGCTCATTTCGTGTTCATGTGCCATTATACCGAAAAATAATATTCTCCTTATACATGTACGTCGTACACATTGTATTTTTCTACCTTTCGCCAGTTTTTGCCGCTATGGTGTAATTTTTTTTCGTTTCAGTTGTTGTTTTTTTTTTTTTTGCCAC